GCTGAACCAGGAGCCCCAGGTGGCCCTGGGGGCTGAGCCACCAGCAGGGCTTTGCAGCCAAGCTCTGAAGGAGCAGCCAGGGATGAGGACAATCCTCTTGCCAACCCCAAGAGCTCCTCTTGTCCCCTCCAGCCCCACCACGGGAGGTAGGAGACCTGGTTCCAACTGGGTTGGGGGGAACTGCAGCTGGATCTGCCTGCAGTTGGTGGCCAGAGGCAGCCAGGGACCAGCACTGAGGAGCTTCTCTGCTGCTCCAGAGAAACAAGCTGCAAAGACATGAATTGTTTTTTTAAGAGAGAGAAAGAAATTCCTGTGAGCACCTGGTGGGACCCACCCAGCCTTCCTCCCCAGCTGGGGACCAGTTCCATCTCCTGTCACCCCTCTCAGAACCTTGTCCCCTGCAGCTCCTCACACCACCCCTAGAGGTTGGTGTCTCTGCCACCCAAGGACCTGGATCTTGATGTGAAGGGTGGTTTCTAGGTCAGGTTTCATCCCCACCAGACACCTCTGGGCAGCAACCACTTCCTCAGACAGGATTTTTTCCAGCTACCAACCTTTCCCTGAAGCTGGGACAGGCAGGAACCAGCAGGGAAGGCTGGGCAGCCAAGCAGAAGTGACACCAGGTGACTGCCCTGGAAACCCAGAGGTCCCAAAGCCAAGGGAGGACCCATCACAAGCAGCTCAGCTCCTGCCTCCTGCCTAAACTGGGAAGGAAACCCTCCCACCAGCTCCTCTGGTGAGGTCACTCTTCCCTCCCCTGACCCCAGGAGGTTTTATTTGGCCTGAAACCAGAGAGATCCTTTTTCTTGGCAGCTTTTCTTCTCCCCTTGGCAATCAGTGGCCAAGGTCCCAGTTCAGGTGAGTGTTGCCACTTGCCCTGTCTCCTCCTGGGCTGGTTGGTGTGGTCCTTTAGCCCCTGAAGAGGCAGCCTGGTGTGGGGTGAGGGCACCTGCCTGCAAAGGCCACCCCCCCAAGTCCCCTCTGCCATGACCCACAGGTCCATCTGACCCAGCTGCTCCTGGAGGGGAGGAATTCTGGAATGGTTTGGGTTGGAAGGGACCTTAAAGCTCATCCAGTCCCACCCCTGCATGGGCAGGGACACCTCCCACCAGCCCAGGTTGCTCCAAGCCCCATCCAACCTGCCCTTCAACACCTCCAGGGATGGGACATCCCATCTGGACAACCTGTTCCAGGGTCTCACCACCCTCCTAGGGAAGAATTGCCAACCTAAATCTCCCCTCTCCCAGTTTGAACCCGTTCCCCCTTGTCCTCAGATCAATCACCAGGAAGGAGCTGGCAGGGGTGGCCCAGGAGGAGGTGGAGGCTCCTGGATGTGTCCCCATGATCCTTCACCAGGGGCTTTGTGGGGCACAAGTTCTGAGGGTTCCAGGAACAGCTCCTAGTGCCTGTTGTCCATCTCCAGGCTTGCCAGGGGGTGGGGAGGCTGGTGTGTCCCATGGCTGGACTTGCCCCCCAAGGCTGGTGCCCCACATGTGTCTCTAATGCCTCCCAAACTGGTGGGCAAGGACTTAGGGAATGGGATGGAGTAGGACCTGAAGGGCCCAATCCTGCCCTCCAGCTGGGTGGCAGCAGAGCTGCCCCCACTGCCTGGTGTCCCAGGAGGAGGATTCAGACCCCAGGGTTGCTTGTTGGGGGGAGGGGATGTCTGGTTTTTAGCTTTTTATATCCCACTAGTACCTTTTTCTACCCAAATCCTGGCACCAGTCCCACCAGCAAAGGCAGAGAGGAGCCCCCAAGGGGGGTGTAAATATTCCAAGCCTGTGGAAAGGGCTGTTTGTGGAGACCCCCCCCCCAAAAAAAAAAAGCAGAGGTGTTCCCCATCCCAAACCAGTCCCAGGAGCTCACAATCAGCTGGATCCTGCAGGAGATGGGGGAGCTCTGAGCTGGTGCCTCCAGTTTGGGGTGGGAGAGGGGAAATTAAACTCATTTTTTATTCCTCCCCTCCCAAAAAAATAAAACCCACCCCCACCCCTTCTTTTCCCTGCTGGAAATGAGCTGATCCATCTCTCTGGACTTGGGAAGGAGACCCCCTTGCCAGAGCTGGGCTGGTGGGTTTGGAGGTTTGTTTCTAAAGCAAAGTCCCCCCCCCAAGGTTCTGCCCTGAGCTGAGAGCCTGGCAAGCAGAGCCTGAGCCAGCCCTGCCAGGGGCAGGGAGAGAAAAGAAACACACAGAAAAACAAAAAGCACTAATGAGTTTGGTTTCCACGTTTGCTGCCACAGCTTTAATCCCTGTATATTATTGCCAGCAAGTTTGTAGAGTTGCCTTCTTAGCAGGTTCCTCCCTGACCCCCCCTGCCCTCCCTGGGGAAACGAGGCTGGTTTTCCCTCCTGCAGCCCCCATCACACCCCTGGTTTTGTTTTTCTTTTTTTGGTTTTGTTTGGCTTCTTTAGACTTTTGTTGTGTGAGGCTGGAGGTTTCCAGGTGCCCCTAGAAATAAATCTCTAAATACTGCTTTGTATCCCAGGATGGCTCCTGCTGCTTCCTGCCCTGCCTGGGCACTCAGGCCCTTCTTGCTTGGTTGGGTTTTATCCCTTCAGTCATGATAAAACTGATGAAACAACAGGAAGGAGGAGCCCCTGTGGTGTTTCCACACCTGGAAGCTTGGAAATGTCTGGGTTCAGGGCTTTTTAGATCTCTTGGGGTTTGTACAAGTGATTGTTCCCCTGTGCTGGGCACTGCTGGGGCTGCACCTCAGATCCTGGGGTCAGGTCTGGGCCCTCCATGACAAGGAGGACATGGAGGGGCTGGGGGGTGGCCAGGGAAGGGCAAGGGAGCTGGGGAAGGGGCTGGAGAACTTGTGAGGAGCAGCTGAGGGAGCTGGGGGTGTCCAGCCTGGAGCAAAGGAGGCTGAGGGGAGACCTGCTGGCTCTGCAGCTGCTGAGAGGAGGTTGGAGCCAGGGGGGTCGGGCTCTGCTCCCCAGGAACAAGGGATGGGACAAGAGGGAACGGCCTCAAGCTGCACCAGGGGAGGTTGAGGTTGGATCTGGGGAACAATTCCTGCCTGGCAAGGGTTGTCAGGGCCTGGCCCAGGCTGCCCAGGGCAGGGGGGGAGTCCCCATCCCTGGGGGGGTTTCCAAGCCCTGGAGATGGTGCTGAGGGACACGGGGCAGTGGGGACTGGGCAGGGTTGAACTTGGGGATCTTGAAGGTCTTTTCCAGCCAAGCCCATCCCCAGGTCCCAGCCCCAGCCCATGGCTGCTCCCTGCTCTGGGACAGCCTTTACAACAGGTCTAAGAGCTCTGGTTGCTCAGGCCTTGGGAGATCAGGGCCAGATCCAGAAGCATCCCCAGAGGAAGAGCTCCCTTCCCAAGCAGGGAATCAGGTCTGTGATCACCTGGGGTTTGATCCTGACATCTCCCTGCTTTGGGAATTGGGCTACAGATTTAAAACTGGAGCCAGGCAGCCCAGAAACCACCTCCTCTGCTGCAGGGGCTGCAGCTCATTCAGTGCTTCACTGAAGGGCACATCCACCAGGATTCCATCCTGCACTTCCCTCCCCAAGCCCCAGTTCCCTCCTCCTTTGTGTGAGGAATCAAGCAGGAAGCTCTGAATTCCTTCTTCTCAACTGGCAGGTGCCTGGGCAGGCAGAGCCCTGGGGGCCTGTGCTCAACTCAGGGCCCATCCCAAGGGACATGGACCTCCTGCTGGTATTGGAATGGGTTGGAAAAAGCCAGGGGGGAAGAAAAGGATCTAAAAGACAAACCAAGAGTCCAAGGGCAGGATGGAGGCAGGTTTATTCAGGTGGGCTTGGCTGGGCAGAGGTGACTCAAGGACAGTGCAGTAGAAAAGAAATATACAAAAAGAGCTTCCATGAGGTTTCCCACCTGGAACCAAAGGAGAGATGAGAGAGGGAGGTGAGAAAACCTTCCCCAGGGAAGGTGGTTAAAGCCACAGAGGAAAAGACAACCCCCAACACAGACAATCCCTCCCTGCCCCCCGGGGGGGTGGTGGGCACCAGCCCAGCCCTCAGGACACTCTCCAGCTGAGCTCCCCAAGCTCAGAGCACCTGGGATGTTCTTCACCCCGAGGGCTGCGGCTCAAGGACCCTCCCCCACGTGTCTTTTAAGTCCATTCCTGTGTCACTGGAGCTGCTCACCCCGGGGGGAGGGGCCTCAGACATAGATCCCGACCCAGAGCAGCAGGAAGAGGACACCAAAGCCCATGAAAAGTGAGGCCACCAGCGAGATCAGCAGCTCCTTGTAAATGTCCCGGGTGTATTTGGTGGATGTCACCTCGTAGCTGTGGCCCGGGGGGTTAAGGAGGCACAGGGAGGTGATGTGGGTCCCCTTGTCCCACCCCCCCCCACC